TTAACAGCCACTTCTCAGTTATAAATAAATTGGGAGTAAAAGTTTAAGTGCTATACCGGTTCTATAAGAGGAACTAAAACATTTCGATAACTATTGACAGGTTCCAAGGTTTTATAAAATAAATAATCGAAATGTAACAGTTGCGATTATAAAGCAATAAATGTTGGTTAGCTATCGACATAAACCAAATCTAGTTTATACATGTTTTTTTTCTATATAAGCTATTATTAATTGCAATTTTTTTATATTTTACTTGCTTTCATTTAACCGTTTTTCGAAACCTACGTGAGTTTGAAAAAAGTCGGTTCGTTTGTGAATGTCTATTGGAAACTATTAAAATATCCCGTCCATAAAGCAACCAACTCTGCGGTAGGTCACTTTTTGTTCGAGCTATCCCAGACAATCGCCCACGCAGGCGCGTTTCAGTCTGATGATCGCTGCTTTCGATAATCTCGATCGCGTCGGACTTTTCACTCACTCGCCATAAAAAAAAACAACGGTCGCATTGCAAAATATTATATTCACATGTGTGATTAATTAGCACAGCGCGGAGCGTTATAATTTGTTGGAAAAACAATTCCTACGGCCTTGACGCTTTAACTGAAAGTTAGGTGCATTATGAATTAATACTCAAATGGCTGGTATTATGAATAAACTGCGTCTACGGATTGATGGAAAATTTAGATCAGTGCCAAAGGCCGTGTAAACGATTGTAGGAGATAGTCAGCGGCGTATCCTTCAGGGTGCCATTTTAAAATTCTATTACTTCTTAAAAACCTCGGCCTTACAAGTTGGAATTTAGTCGGTCTTATCTTAGCTTTTCTAACGCCATTGAGTTTAGTTAGCGACAAAGTGAAATCTTCTCTCTCCAAGAATCTGAACTCAAATCTCAACTTTATCAATAATCAACTCCTTACGGGAGTTCATTAAAACACCAGGCAAATAAAAAATATTCATTCAAAGCGTTTCTTGAAAAATTTAACAATATTTGCCAACAATAATAAATTATGCAACAAGTTTGGAAAACGTTGCAAAGTTGGGAAGTCACGAGCGGAATGAATGTCACTTTGACGGCTGCGTTACAGGTTGCAAATACATTTTTGTTTATAAAGTTTCCATGATATGCGCGAAATAAGACGGTTTTATTAGTTAAATACGTGTTATTTTATTCGCCATTGCAGGATGTCGTAAAAATCATGTCATTATCTTGTCAGGTTTCTATGTTTTACTAAAGGATTAATTCAAAACCGATTAAATAAGATTTCCAATTTTCTATATTCTATTGTTCTATATATTTCTAAATGATATTTTCATAAACATCCCACACCACTATGCTTTTTTATGTCTTATTTCTTGTTTCCTTTTCTTTTTCTGATAAAAAAACTAAAATAACTATTTTCTAAACGAAGAAGTCACTGCGGTTAGCAATTTTGATTTGACTGTGATGTTTCATTAAAATGGACAGAAGGAAATAATATGGAAAAAGAAGTTATTAGATTTTAAAAATTTTACTTTGTGTTAAAAACAATAATCAGCACAAAAGCACATTTGATGCAAAGAAACATCTTATAGTCAGTTTCGTATGGTGAGATAAGCCTGAATATATTTTATTTTTGCGGTTGTCCAAATTAAAACTTCATTATTAAATTTTAATTTTTTGTTGCGATATAAATTATGAAGTTTTTATTGAGTATAGAGGACCGTCAAAAGTCAATGCAAATAAGACGATATTTTTACTGATTTGTTTAGGTATTCCAATACATGCGAAATTGAAATATGAATATTAATACTAATTGCAAGAATATTTTTATTGAATTCGATACTGTCGCTGATGTGATCTGCAACTTTCAAAAACATCCGGTACGACACTGCCGGCGACGTGTAGAACTATAACTAACAGATTTTGCATTGAAGTGCAATCATTGACCAACGGTACAGACCGTAGCCTGGAACCGTCGGTGCAAATCGAAAGGGATACAAGAAAAATAGACTTTTGCGGGCAGAAGGGGAAGTGAAGCGAAGAACGAGGTAAAAAAAATGCAACGTTTTAAAGGATAAAGTGACACTATTATTAGTACGACCTTGATTTTTATTAGGCTTTCGATTATCACGTAATCGGACAGAAAGTGTCACGGGAGACGGTTTCAGCGGTTTGACTTCTCGAAATTTAGTTTGTTATAAGACACAAAAATTGGCGAAGCTTCATTAGAGTACTGGCCCAGCAAAAATGTTAATTTGGTGGAAATTTAAACTAAATTTTTCCATGTACCAAATAAATTAATATCCTTAAATATTATGATGAACAAAGCAACAATCGATCGAAAACGAAACATTCAAAATCAATAATTAGACCAAATATACAACAATAACACTATTTATTTTACCTACACTAAAGGAATTTGCCGATTATTTGCTTAGGTTAGGTTCACTTCTAACCAGATCTAAGAGTTAAGAGGGCAAATTTATAACCGCGAAACAGCGTTCTAAACAGTACATTTAGTGGAAATAAAACATTAATGTGGTTCGTCGTCGGACAGTCCATTAAAGTGTTTATATTGCTGTAGGCTTATTCTTTATTTCAAATTTGAGATATTGGACTATCCACTGAACTATATCAAACACGCGATGTACAACTAGAAATTAAACACTACCAGAAACATTCCACCAACCACAAAGTCAATTTTCAAAGTGAGAGATAATAGATATATAAAAGAGGTTCGCTGTCTTATCGTCCATTAAAGTTTCTTGATTAAATCGCTACAAATATTTTCTTTATTAAATTTTCAATCATACGACTATTGCCGATAAAAAATGTACAACTTAAACCCAAACAGTACTACAGAGTTAATTAATTTTTTTCAAAAAAATTTGCCCGAAATACTTTTTTAATTCAGTTTTGGGATATTGGATTATAGGAGCTCCAAAATATAAAAGTACAACTGGAGTAATACTGCAAACTACAATATACTAGAAGAAAAATAAGTATCCACTGCTTAATTAAGAGAAAACTTCCCACATTGATAGGGACAACTTCTGATGATTTCGGTTACATCGGCTTATAATTTCCGACTTTGTCACCTTAAATTTCAATTCTTCCTTACCAAGAGGGTACCTACTTCACATAAAACCTTCCAGTTACGTAAATATCCTTATTGCATTCAATTCATCTGTATTAAAATTTTATTTTTATGACTTGCTACAACTTACAAAACAAGAGTCTGATACAAATTTTGGCGTCTTCCGAAAATATTTTTTGCACGGTTTTTTAAAAATTTGGCAACATCATTTGTTATATTGCCGTCCAGGGATGAATAGTATTGTCAAAGAGATATACGACAATTTCGTTTTTGCAATTTTGAGTAGTTTTCGAGAGAATAAATAAAAAACATGAAAATTAACAGGAAGTATTTTTATGAACATTTGTTTTTTGGCCCCTTTGATACACAGGAAATCTATTTAAATTTTTTAATTAATTTTATTGTTATTACCACCACTAGCTTCAATTCAGGTATCTCTGCCGTGCAAAGGAAGATCTAGCCGCCTACAGTTTAAAAATTGTTAAAAACTATTCTGTGAAATTTGCAATCTAAAAAGCAAGTAAGTCGACAAAGAATATACACTACAATACGTGATTAATTTGAACTATTGTTCGCTGGCAAATTAGGCGAGCAAGGAGTATAATCAAGCAATGTTTCTACTAGTATATACGAAATTGATCACATCAGCGGATAAATGCCTAACATTGAATCAAAACGAAGACTAGTAATATTACATAATGCTCACAATGAAATACAGCGAATAGCACTAAACAATATTTTTTTCCTTTTTTATTATTTAAATAGTGCATCTATTGAGTAAGTCTCCTCTTTCAAATCACCTGAAAATGATTCATATAAAGATCCCGACTATACTCCCGACTGACTCCTTGCCGCATAGAAATTTGGTTCAGCCATCACATATTCAGTTGTTTTTTCAGATGTAACGAAAATGCCCTCCAAAAATCTTGACTCGCAACAAAGCGTTGGTGCTTTAAGATCCGATAGTGCAAATGAAGCTGCACTGAAAATAAGCATGATGACCACTGTCCACAACTAAGAGACTTCACGTGAACCACCATATAAGGCGACTTGTAGGCAGAAATGCTTACAAAGAATTGATGATGAAGCAAATTTAATTTGGAGAGAACCGATTGTTCAGCAAGAATTTTAGAAAAACACATTGTAAAATGTGATAGGAAGGATGTGATAGAAGGAGGACAAGTGAATGATTGGCAAACGAGGGAAGACAAGATTTAAATTTCAAAAATTATTAAATAGTTGGTTAGTGAAATGCCGCCCAAAAAACAATATATTTGGAGACCACTTCCGATTTTTATTGTATCGGAAGGCCTTAGTAAAGTCGTGGAAGAGATGGTACTTGATTAATGTATGTACTTAAGTCAATGAAGTTACTAATGTTAGTTTAGTTAAGAAAAAATGTTCTTAGTATGCTTAAGCCTACATGAACTCTTTTTGTTCAGTAATTTAGAAATATATATTTAGTTTTAATTTCGTTTGTATAATTCAATTTTTTTTTCATGCCTTTTTCAAAATACTGTTACGTTCATTGCCAATTGATGTATCATGATCTTATTATAGCGTGTGAGAAAAATCAAAGCCCTGTGTCAAATCCTTTTTCAAGGAAACAATTTTTACTAAGAAATGTTTTAATTGCAGAAAACTAACTTTTTTGACATACTTGCTTTTTAATTTGTGCAGCAGAACCTAGTGAGGATTACTCCACCCTTCTCTTTAAATATTTATCTACTATGAGTCACCCTATATAAGCAAGGTTCTTCGTCTAATCGCCAATTAATATTTCGTGAAATTTCTTTGGAAGTTAGTAGAAGTTTTCCATTATAAATTATTTTAGTACAACAAGCTCATGAAGCTGCATTAGTTCATAGTTTGGATTAGATGTCATTCGGCAAGCAGTTGCAGATTTGACTATATTGTGACTACGAAATTTATTTATTTTTTTAAAATCTTACCGCAACTTATAAAAAGAAAAGTTTCACTGACATTTTTTAATAATTTTGATGAATGCTAAGCTTATTAATTAACATAATATTTAATTTTATATTCTTCGGCACTAATCTTCTAAGATTTCGACAGAATGAGTGACAACAGCATGAAATTAAAACTGGATTTCAAATGATTCCGACGAAAAAAATCTAAATTAATTGACACCACCTCGTATCATCGATATCGAAACGTAATAACGTAGTCATTCAAGTAGAGAACGCAAATACTTTCCTTTTCGTCAGTTTTACTGCAATTGAAGGGAAAAATTATACGTTATTAATGTAGGAAACAAGCGTCCAAATAAAATTCGAAAATTCGACGGCGGACAATGCACGCGTGTATTAATTCGGTCCATTCTAATTTGGTTTTAATATTTCTGTTACTAAATACCGGCAAAGGTAGAATTAGGAAAAATGACAATATTTAAAGATTTCTAACGACGTTGCCCCATCATCCTTTTTGTAATTTCATTTGTTTCTTTTTGTTAGTTTGATGGATAACTTGGCAGGAGCAGTGCGTAGATGCAGTAGACATTTTGATTAGTGATTTGTGTTATGTGCAGTAGAAGCGATGTATTTACGGTGTATCTTTTGGGTTAGCGCTGTGTTTGCCTTGCCATCTCTTTGGATAGATAAAGTTGCGGATAACATTCCACTAACGGTAATATCGAAATCATTATTTTGAAGGAGACAATCACACTGACTGTGATCAAGATAAAGACGTAAGATAAAGAAATATTGAAAAATGGGATACATATACAATACTAAATCAAAAAAAAATACAATTAAAACTCTGCTACAGTTATATTAGTCATAATTATAGTCCGCAAGGAAAGGACACCCAGTATTAAATGGAATTTTCCACAATGAATGAAATTAGTTGTTTAAGGCCATGTACTTATTTATATAATTCATTTAGAAAAATAATACCTTATTAATACAACCCTAACCACAATATCTTTAAATAAAACGATTATTGAATATTTTTGTTCTAATTAGATTAATCGTATACAAAATTATTTAAAACAATGGTTATCTGTAAATTTTGAGAATTCTCTATCAACTAACGCCATTATGTAAAAGGTAATTTTTAACTAATTCATTAGTATTCTAAACACATATAAACTTCGACATTATGGCAAAGAAGCTAGGCATACGAGGACCTCTCAACGAATGGATCTTCTCATATATGATATGAATTTTGGGTCCGTTAATTTTTGTTTGATTTGTCCACATTTCTAAACGGTGACGGTCGTGTCTTTGTGTGATGATGACACGAATTTGGAAGGATTTATGAATGGTGTCCCTCTTGTCATTACACATTTGAATGAACTGGAGAAGCCAGTTGTGGTTGAGTTTAGTGGCCGTTATACCAAACCTTTAACAGGTTTATCATTTAGTTCTGCTAAATTGTCTTTAGACATAAGATCACAGTTTCTTAGTCCATATATTGACGGTTCTTTGAGGTGCGATCAGGACATAGATGTCGATGATAGTGTCTTCAGTAAGCTAAAAAAAATGTTTCTTTGCGTTATTAACGATTAGAAACTTGTTTCTTGAAAGGCCACTAATTTTATATAACATTGTATACCGGGTCATCCTATACATCAAAAGAGGCTACTTACTCTATTAGTCGTAATGGAGAACAGTTATTGAAACAACGTTTTATAAACGCTTAGTAAATTAAGCAGCACCAAAGTATTATAATTTGCTTCCTCCAAGTCTAAAAAATTTATCAACAAAGCATTTTTAAAAAAGTATCAAGAGACTCCTGTCAGCCAACGCTTTCTACAGCCTGATCTACGTTTTCTTTTCAAAATGATTTTTTTTATGTCAAAGTGCTAGGCGATATACATTTTTTAAAGATAATGGGTATACCGATTTGTTATATACTAAGTTGTAATCTGTTATGTGATTGTTTTCTGACGAAACATCCACTGTACTGTATTTGTTAATAAATTTTCTATCAATCTAACTGAATCACCAATTCATTTAACCACTTTGAACTTTAATTTGTGGTCAGCCTGTATATAACTAACATTAGATAAACGTCAAAATATTGTAGGAGGGTGACAACAGATTTCCAAGATACGATGAACACCTTGATGGTTTAACTTATTTGGCCCCACAAAGTGTAGAAGATAACAGCGTGCATCAGGAAGACGGTACGGAATGGAAATGGGCTAATTACACGGAACAAATCATTCCTTTTTCGACAAATTTTTCTGAAGAGGTGGGTAGAGGGCCGAGATTTTATAATAATAACCATAAACCGTCTCGAAACTGATATTCTCCGACCTAATATTGAGGTCAGAAAAGCCTACATGAACATGACGGCAGAGAAGGGTTAAGTATTTTTTCTACTTCCTTCTTTAAAATACCCATTTATATAAGAATTAAGCATGTAGAAAGTATCGGTTTGATCAGATGGGAATTAACAATAATCCGTTAAGCCATAAAATTGAAATCAACGCTTTCGCGTTATTTCATCTATAAAGCCTTTGCTGTTTTACTTCAGGTTAAAAAAAACCTTTTATATTTTTTATAAAATACTTCACAAATTCTTTATAAATTTTAATGAACGTAATAAATATTTTACAGCTAAATATAAAACCTGGACTGCCATGTACCTTGAACGACTGTCAAAGACGGTGTTTTCAAAGATTTTTTCGTTTGAATAATTTTAAGGCATGTGAATATTATAGAAAACAAAAGACACTTTCTTTTTGTGGCTTGGTTGCTTATTTATGCACAATAAAAAAACAGTTACACTGAACTGAACTAACCAAAACAGTTACACTGTTTTTTTTTATTAAACTAATTTCTAACTGAATTAAAAAATGAGTTTAAAAACACTTAAATTGTTATCATCGCAGGGAGATCATTAAATGTGATGGATGCACTCATAGGATTATAGAGAGCTTGGCTTGTTCTAGCAATACCTACATGAATATTGTTTCTTTTTTCGGGGGGAATTTTATTTTATTTTTTTCTCTAAATTAATTTTAAGGTTTTGATGTAACACCCCCTTAATATGTCATTACTGTGTCATCCGCAAATATGTGCTCTCCAATAACATCGAACGCTTTCTATAAACCCACAGACACACCAATAACCATCTCAGCTTTGTCAAATTAAATACTGAAATTTGTTGCGCTGTACATACAATGATTAATTATTATTAATATCATTTACATTTATTTCTAACCTTTTTTTGCTACAGCTTTATTTCTAATGAACAAATTAATCACGTTTCACTGTTTTATAGAATTTGAGTCAGCCAATGGGAGATTTCTTTTTAAAGAACGAAGGTCTATTTCATGTATTTTTTAAGATTTTCAGTTTTTTGACGACATTTTCGTTATTAGAAAATCTTTCTAATACTTATAGGCCTTATTTTTTCCCGTATTACATCTAGTATGCGCAGTAATTTAGATTTTCTATGTAGATTTTGGGCTTAAACCTCCTACTGGTTTTTTTATACTCAAGACCAATTTTCTATTTCTATTGAATATTTTATAATTATTTGACACTACTACACAAAACATTTAAGTTTATATCTCCCACAATAATGCGGTTAGTAGGATGTTTTATGACAATTACTTCTGATTCATTTAAACCCGAGAAGACGGAGATCTATACCTACAAAACACTCAATTTAAACTTTTGTCGATATATACACACGAACAAATAAATAGGCAACTGAAAAGTGACGTTATGACCGAACAATTGACATTTCACATTTGCACAACAGCATAAGACACTCAGACGCCCAATATAAAGTTATTCTATAAATTTTTAGTGCAAAATAGAATTGAGTCATCGTACGAACGCTGGGTTTTTGAATTGTTATAATATCTAATAAGACATTTTCATAATAATGTCAAAGGTAATTCTATTGCTGTCAACTCTAGAGTAAATGCGAAAAACAAAATTCATTGCTGTCTTAACTAACCAAAACTTAATTATGGTTTGTAAGGATAAAAATATTGGTTTGAACATTATGAAATACAATATACCTTTTTATTTTAGGCGAAGTAATTTTACTTTTGAATTTCAAAGCTTTCCTACAAAAATTTTTAACAAATTGTAATTCCTTTTTTTTTATTATACTTCTATTTTGGTAAATTGGCGCTAAAATTAACGGCAAAGTATTAACTAATTTAAGCAAGTATTTATTGTTTTTATTTCTTTTATGATTGTAATATGTTATTGGGCGCAAGCCTGTTGATTACTTACTTAATAATAGAACATAGCAGGAAAAATGTTACGTTTGTAATACGGGATAATAAAATTAATCTCGTAGCTATTAAAATCGCTAACAAAGTCATTGACACGTTGGGCTCTACGTAAGTTTTAAACTTAAAAATATGGCTAAACATTAAGCTGCCGCCAGACATATAATTTACGCCCATGTGTCTGTATTTGTATTGAAAATAATTGTCTAACATAACCGAGCAATTTCTCGTGTTGTAACATTTAACTCGAAAAATTTAACCGTTCGTCGAATTTCGAAACCACCCGTTACGCGTATATTATTAATCGGAAACTTCGGGGCGTATGAACATCTCGGCAATTTTCGACATAAAAAATGAATTTGTAATTTAGATTAGTTAGTTATGTGCAATTTCAAAATGCATTTTTGTGTGTCAATTGTTCTTAAGATAATAATGCCCAGCGGAAATAATGCATTACCGATAATGACTGCCAATGTTGCGTTAATGTTGCGATCCATGGACAATTAGCGGTAACTTAAATTATGCACCGAACGTTTCATATTCGGAAACCAGTATGAAGATACAGACTAGATTTTGAAAATGTGTGTTTAAGGGTTAAGTAATTTTTTGCTTTTAATTCTAGAAGTAGGTTATCATTAAAATGACTATTTCAATTTTTTTTAACCTTCAGCAAAGGTTTTATTGTTATATTCATTGCAATTATTCCCTTGCTAACGATGTATCACCAAAGTTGTAGTTCCAAGAATGTTAAATATTAAAGGAATTCCCAAGAAGTACAACCGCACAGAAAATTGTCATATACCATACTATATCACAACTTATAATATAATTCTTTTTTTTTTTTAAATAACTAGTAACCTTTAAATGGCGCTTATAGCAATGCAAGAGGCGCAAGTTTGTAAAACAATTGTATCTAACAGATGTTATACAATGATCGCCCATGATAATTATATAACAATATTTATTTATTTAATTATAAACAAGTCCTTCCTTCAAACAGACCCAACTGTCCAATAAAAGGAAAGCAGAAAATGTCACAAAAAAGAGATACTTTGTCAGTGGACTAGTTTAAATTAGTTTTTACAAACTAAATCTAATTAAGAACTAATTACAGCGTTTCAAGATCTGTTATAAGTACGGGTTTGCCTGTTTGCTTGTTTCGAAGAACATAGGGATTACAATTAAAGTATATTTATTACAAAATCGTTTCCAATTTTAGAAAGAAATAGTAAATCAAAATTTGTTTTACGGTTTCCCAAAGACTGCATACAATAGAAAAAAAGGTTTTCACTATAACTACACTCCCCAGCCGTTCGAGGTATCTAAAATACATTGGATTCCAGACTGGCGTAGCGTATTTCAACACGGGTCTGACAAGACTGTAAAAAAGTGTTTTTAAAGATTTTTTATTATTAAAACCATTAGTCATTAGCCATTAGTAAAACAAATATAAGACTCTTTAGAGTCTTTTGAACAATGTTTTCTAGGTGTATCTCAAAAAGTAGCGACGAATCCAATGTACAGGGTCCAAATAGTTCAGTTTGTAGTAGAGATCAATTTTAATTTACCATTTTACCATTTTACAAAAACGTTACATAACAGTTTTTTAACAGAGCTGTGAGTGAAATCCTGGATGGTTTTAAATAACATTTCTGTGTTCTTTGACAATAATATAAAATTATTCTCGTTTCAAAAGGTTATTCGCAGTAAAACAGCATTACAAAATACTTATAAAATAATTTTATAGAAGCTTTGAAAACGTTTCAATTGTAAACAATCTCTGTTGTATTGGTCATTAACATCTTAGCAATGACATTTTCATTTTTGCAAGAATCACGACCAAAATTATTTTTATTTTTATTAGATAATGATAATTTGGTAAACGCCCTTATGATGCTCTCCCAAATTATTTGGTTAACGGCGGATTGGTGAAATTCACAGGCTTTCGCTTAAATTGAATAGGTATATGGACAATATTGCGCCTCTGATTGTGAACTTTAATGATATTATACGAATTTATTTGTAGCACTAATTCTAAAGCGCTTCAAAATTGCCCATATTTACAAAATTTAAATTTGTTTTTAATGTGGCTTTAAATAAAATTTATTGATATTAATGTGATTTTTCTTATTTATGACAGGGCGATTTGAATTAAATCATTTTTATCCATTACGAAATACCTATAAAATTAAACTGTGCTTGAAATTTGTTTATATTTCTATTCATTTCAGTTGTCAGAATTATATTGTATAAATTATATTTTGTATGGAAATTATTGCCTTTTTGTTTTTTTAGTCAGTTATTTTGAGAAATTTAGGCTCTGATGTACTGTTGTGCAATCATCAATTCCTGTAGAGTTTACTGTCTTAATAATAGCTGGTTATCATCAGCTATTATCTCATTTAATGCAAAATAACTAATATTACAGGAAGTAGGCCATAGTCGGAAACGTTGATTCACCTTAATTTTTTACAGCTTTCGGACAGCTCTGTGGTATCTTCTTCGTCACTTAAAACGATTTTGTTAGATGATTTAATTATTTTATTACAAGCGTCATTAAATATAATAGTAAAATAATTTTATTAACGCGGTCTTGAACGCCAAAAAGGAAAATTACTTTCAACGTAAATTTCCAGAATAACTATAAAATTTTGTTATAAAGATCTTACAAAAAATAAAGTTTCAAACAATTATAAAATAAATTTAGCTAAAGCATAAATAGTTTTATAAGTATTGATTTTAACCGTCTTTAGAAATGTTTTATTAATCAGTCTCATCAACGGCTATAAAAGCACTTTAATAAATTATATCAGTTTCTAAGGCGAGCTTTATTAGACTATTTACAATTAACCATATAGCAAATATATAACTATTTAGTCGAAGAACAAAATTTATGTGCTACTTGGGATGTTTTTAAATATTTAATTTTTCAATCTCACATGGCAATGACATTTCGATGATGACTATACTATACTGCCGTAGTCACATTTGAAATTCACGCAAAAAGTGATCTTTTTTCTATTACTAAACGCAAACTCTGAAGGATTTGCAATTCACATGGCACTGCGGTGGTTTCAGTTATTATTTATTTATTATTGCTTAATAATACAAACAGTATGGAAATTTTATGTTAAAAATGAGACAATTAAACGATTTTCATGGTCAATTTGAACTAATTTTATCTAAAGTAACAGTCCGCACGTAATATTTGCACTCTAAAACAGTTATATCTTAATATTAGCGACTTTCGCGAAGACTGTCAATTGTTTACTCAAGTGTCCCACACACTTTTGTTAAAATTTGCGATGATGTGAGATAAAATCGCAACGTTTCGAAAACATTCTTGATCATACGGCAATTTAAAATATGCTAAAAAAGAGCTTCTTATATAGAATTCAATGCAAGAAATTAACTAGAGCGTGTTTAAATTTATCATCAAAATCCCCCATCGATGATATTTTTCATAATCATTATTTCATAATCATTATGATTTTCAAGCGACGACGCTGCATTTTTCGCACGTTTGACAAACAATAATTTATCGCAATAAATGGTTGGTTCAAATAATATTTTAAAGCTGTTAGTAAAATATTTTTTTCGGTTTTAATTAGATGCATAAGAAATTTCGTTTTCATTATATCAGTCGTAATTGTTTATCAGGTCCCATTAAAAATAGTTAAAGTAAAACAAATTCCTTAGGCAGAGATTAGATTGTCAATATTTGTGTGAAGTTCAAGTACAAAAATTCTGAAAATCTGGAAAATTCACTACTGGTTTTAATGCCAACTTTTAACACCTGTACATAAAATACCAAAACTCACCCAAATTCTGAAACTATTAAAGAATTAATCAAAATCAACAACACGAGAACCTAGTTTAAAATTTATTAATTTTTCAAATAATTGCATTGCATCAGCAATCAGCATCAGCAACTAACCAAAACGTCAAGATAAAATAAAATGCGTGAAATGAAGTTACGTCAAAGAACCAACGTGTTTTCAGGACGATTTATCGCCAGAAGAACAAAAACAAAACAACAAAACCACACCCAGAATTTTAAAAGGTAACTCTCCGAAAAATGTGCAAACGAATGCAAACAGGACGTTAACGAAATCATCTCCATCGAACGAAACCGTAACAACTCCTGCCTCTTCGAACACAAGCAATATCAACCCGATCGCTAATAATCCTACAACTCTTAACGAAACTAGGATTCCGAGGCAAGATTCGGAAGAGAAAAACGACTCGAACGAACAAAACGGTTCAAAAAATGAAAACGATTCGAGGGAAAACGCTTCACAAGAAGAAAGCAGCGAAGAAGAAGAAGGAAACATGGTCACTGGGCTAATATCATCCTTTCTGAGCGGACTTAGTACGGTAAAAAAATTAAATATCCTTCCCAACTGAACTTGCTTATTTTTTTAGCAACACCTAGTTTTATATATTATGAACTTAAAACGTAAACATAAGAACAATAATTTCATTAGATTTTTCGTGAAAATCTCCTAAACGACAAAATTTCCGATTTTTTTTAAATTAAAACTACTATTTACATAGTGTCAGTTAAATTAAATTTTTAAATTATAAAAATATAAAGGTGTATCTTATCGTGAATGTACTATACGATCTTAAATAAACTTCTTATTGCAAAATTTCAGCCTGAAGGGGGCATTGATGTAGAAGCAATCATCGGTCTACTTGGAAGCTTGAGCACGGTTGGTATTTGTTAACCAGACATTCATATTAATATTATTATTATTATTATTATTACTATTATCGTGGATAAACCTATGCATGTTTATTCTAGCATTAAGTTGACAATAAAGTGTAGTTTTAAAATCAACAAAAACAACAAACACCAAAATATATTTGATGTATAATTCCAGTTAACCCGAAGTAATTAAAAACTACGAGTTACGTAAACGTTTCTTAAAGAAAAACTAACTTACTAAGAAAATTTGGTACTGCTTCAAAATATTATTACAAGACTCAAAAGTCTCTTGGCAATTTTTGACGTCGAAACCGATTTTTCTTTTAACGTACGTGAATGGACGAATGGCAGTTTAATTTGTAGTTGCCGGAACCCAAAATTTCACGAATGGTTAAATGTTTTGGAAAATGGTCGACCGACGTTTCATTTTCATATTGTTTTTTGTTTTTATAAAATAATGCCAGATTAACGAACAATCGATGACATACCACTTGTTTCTCCAAGAAAATTAAAAAATAAAGTCGTTTTCATTATCATAATTAATTTTTTTCTTAGTTTCAATGTTATATATTTTAGTGCTCCGGAATAAGGGGTGTCCAATCGGTTTATATAGGTTACTTTGCAAAACATTAAATTACGGTGTACTTAGATGCATAGTACTGTGAAGCTACTCAAAATTAGCTAAGAGATATTTGAAAAAACCCAAATTAACTGATTTTAGTATTTACTTCTAAGCATATTTATTCCCAACATTGTATTGAAACCTAACTCAAGAGAGAAGGTGTTCTGCTACTCAGCCAGCAATAATGACGACCCAAATTACCAAAATAGAATCGGATTATTTCTCGATAAGGAACTTAAAAACTCAAAAACTCTCATCTCTTAAATATTTTCGGAACAATGGAAGCGATATTCAGCGTACAAACCTTGGTACAAAATGATGAGGACCAGAGAAAAGACAGTTTCAAGATCGTCTGATATCGTACCTAATTGATGTGGAGCTAGATGGCAAAGACATACGATTAATTAGCAATTTGTACTGGAATCCGAAAGCAGATATCCGAATGAGCGACTTGTCAACAACGGATCAGTTTGATATGAAAAAAGTGCTGCATTTTTATCACCGTTCCTGCATAATCTGTACTTAAAAAGAGTGTTTCGTGGGTCGGTCTCGAACAATGGGAGACCCATTAACAACTTTAGACACGCAGACGATTCTGTTTTAATCGGGGTTAATGCAATCGATCTTCAGGAACTATTGAATCGGGTAAAAAAAACAAGCACAAAATTAATACAAAACTAAATAAGTGTAAGGTCGTGAGTAGGACTGATATTCCGGGTTTCAAAATGCTAGTAAGGTTAATATTAAACAAGTGATGATCAGAGATGTTAAATTAAAACTGGGAACTAGAATAGAACAATCAAGAACAACCTTCCTTAAACTAAATATTTTTTTACAAATTTATTTACTTATTTATTTGAAGTAGTCTACCTAACAGGCATGAAGCCCAACTAAAATGTAGGAAAATTTAGTATATGTCATAGGTCAGAGCAATCAAACAAGCTATTTAAAATTCTAAACAAAATCATTAAATAATGATGATCATGGAGACCAAACTACTGATGCATACTCCAACTTAGATCTGACTTATGAGTTACATAATATTTTTATCACTTCTGTATTTTTAAGGTTCGTGGTGCAAATCCATAGCTTTTTGAAGCTTCTGCAATTATCTTATTGACATGAGGGAAAAGGATAAATTCGAGTCGAATATTACTCCCAAGTCATAAAAAGTGTTAGAACGGGAGAGTTTTATCAAAAAGATAATAAAAGAGACAACATTACACTTGGCTCTATTAATTTAATCTTATTCTTCTTTTACATTAGGCACATCTGCCTGTTTTACTTCAATGTAATTTTTATCACAAGTTGTTCCATCTTTTTCGTGGGCGTCCTATACTCTTCCGAGCGGCAGGCGATTTATCTCGTGCTGTCCTCACTATCCGTTGTTGAGACTTCTGTCTATATATTCATTCCATTCTTGCTTTCTATTTCTTGTCCAGGTGTTCATGTTTTCAATTCCACATATGTGCAATATGTTTTCATTTCTTTAAAGGCATTTCTGAGTCATAGATGTTTCCGGTCTTATTTCAGCAGTATATGTCATGACTAATCGAACTACAGATTTATATATGCGAGATTTTCCTGCTATTCTATTGGCTTTTGCAGTTTGTTCTCTTATCTCATCCTCTATGGTATCATATGATAATCTGATTCCTAAATATTTGATGCTCTATAATTTGGGTATCAAGTTTTATTTATTATTTAATTTATTGTTTAGTTTTTTTGGCCGATATTTTCATATTAAATGTCTTTGGATTTATATTAAACTGATGTAGTAATCTCTGCAAATCATCTTCATTCTCAGCTACCAATACAGTATCGTCGGCACACACACAACATTCGTGTTTCTTAACAATTTTATAGCCTTTCTTGTTTTTACTTCTCTAATTATTTCATATAATATAATGTTAAATAGTAAGGGGATTAGTGAGTCTCCTTGCCTAGTATTTGTAGTTACATCGATAGTTAGCTCTGAATTTACTTTGCTTCTATTGTATTTCTTTAGTACATTTTATTTGTATTTGTATATTGTATATTTTCGATTAGTTTTATTATATCAAATGCTGTACCTGCACTCTATCAAATGTTTTTTCTAAGTCTATTAAGCATAAAAACACTGGCCAATTGTACTCAACTGATTTTTCCATAATTTGTCTAATTACAAATACTGCGTCATTACAAAATTTTCCACTTCTGAAACCTCATCGTTCTTCAGAGAGTTTTACAGTGGAGTTATTTTGTGGGTAATAATTTTTGTTTTCAGTTTCAAAGTCGTGCATAGGAGATTAATTCCTCGATATTTATTTGGATCAGTTTTCTCCCCCTTTCTAAAAAGTGGTATCCTTATGCTCTTAAATTCTCCGTCGTATTGTACAATTGTCTTAAATGGTTTGTCCATGTCTCTTTGTCTATATAATTTACCTCTACCTACAATTTTTTCATTTCTTGTCTTGTCCACGTATCATTCTCCAAATCTCTTTTTGCAAACCATAAAAGTGTTCTTTTGAGAATTTTTCCCAATTATCTTTTCCTTAGCAGTGTGTTTGCTTCGTTGCAAATTCTTTTATATTCTTCATAGTCTTCTCCTGTTTTTGTAGACTTATATTTGAGCTCTTGTTTTCTATTGATATTTTAATTTTACTTCGCAAGAAAACCAAGGTGTACTTTTTATTCTTTTTGATGTTCTGTCGATTTTATGTTTCCACGCGCTTCTTTTGTTGCGTTTTTGATATTTTCTAGAATCTTTCTCGAGCTGTTTTCTATATCTTTTTCTTCTATTACTGAGTTTTCGTTTATTTTGTTTTCCAATCTTCTTTGATAGGGACTTTTTATTGATCCATGCTGCAGTTTTTCTACTTTAGTCGTTGTTCTCGTTGTTGTTATTAGTTTTTTTATGTTTGCTTATTTTCATTGTTATTTTCCCTAAAAGAAGATTGTGGTCTCTTCCTACGTTAACGGAACATAGATATCTTATATCTAGTATTTGTGTGTAATGTGTTTCCCAATTTGTTAAGATATAGTCTAACAATGATCTATCTCCTCGTATATTTTGGAATGTATATTTATGTTGTCCTTTGTGTCTAAAAAAGGTGTTATCTGGTTAGTCACATTTTCATAAAATTTTTGTTTTTGTTTGTTTCCGTTCCCTATTCGTGGATAGTAAGACAATCCTCTGAACACCGGATTTTTGTAAAAAAATTATGTCGTCCGCATATAAAAAGACACTGCATATATAATGTCATTAACGAAAATGTTGAATAATAATGACCGCAATATTGAAACTTGAGGAACGCCTGAGGAACCAATGTATTCACAGGAAGTGTGACCATAGAGACATGAGAAAAACAAATTAACAAGCGACAATTCAAAGGCCCGGAGCTTGAGATTTAGGCGATCAAACGCTTTTGAAAAAGTAAGATATATGACGTCCATTTGAGAACCTTCATCAATGGTCTCAGAAATATACTGAGATATAATCGTTAAATAAAAATCTAAACTTTAAACTATGATGCTGAACCCTTGAAAGTTACGTTTGGTCAGTTCTTTTGTATGGTGTGACCTTAAAAACAAATTCTACACATGAATTAGAAGCATTCGAGATATATATATATATATATATATATATATATATATATATATATATATATCTCGAATATATAAGAAATCATGTAATTGTTCGAAAAGCACAATTAAAGATCGTGAGCTTTACGGAGTAATAAAGCGTAGAAAAATATCCTAGTTGCGACATATTATTTTCAAGATTTCCAAAATGCTGCAATTGACAGGACCATATGAGAGACGCAGACGCAAGAAGTTGCATAGTACTCTAAGAAGATATTCTTTATAAATTTTATAAAATAAGCCTACTACTTTGGCATACCTTTTTTTTTTGGAGAAGTGAAAATAAATACTAAAATTAAAGAATTTAGTTTTTCTAAAATATTTATTACATTTGATTTTTTCATTTTATTAGGGTATTAGGCATGTAAATAAACAGCTCCTAACCCATTTAACTTACCTAACGTTTCTTTTGAGTTTTATGCTGCTATCGATTGTTAAATTCCTGCTCCTGATTAACCGACTTTAATTCCAGCAAAATCCAGATGGCACTTATGAATTTTCTGGCCTAACGGAACTACTCAGAAGCTTTTTCGGGGTATGAACCAATGAAATATAAAAAATCCACAGCCGATTACTTTCGCATTTTAGGGTGAAGGAGGCTCAGATGTTGGGGCCTTCACTGGTGGAATTCTAGGAGCTGTAATAAGAGGATTTGCTAACCCACCGGGTGGCGTAAGTTTTTTATTGATATTTTTGTCACCAGCACATTGCGATTTAATTCGTTCATTTTCATTTTTTTAGAAAGGTGCCGGGATTTTCACAGGAAAGGTAGTGGCCGGTCTCTTACCAGCCTTGAGTGGACCGGTAAGTATGGTACCGAGAAAATATCGTAGGTTCACATTTTTTTAAGCCTTTGCGCCGCCGTTTACGTAATGGTGACGCATTAACATTGCAATAATTAATACGCAGTCATTTGGTTTAATAACTGTGTTAATAATTATGTGTTTCTTTGCCAATCGATTACAGCAGAACCCCTCGAAATTGAGCTTTTACCAATCTTTCAATATTAAATGATAGAAGCCTATTAAAGCTGATAACATTTTTGGCAAATTTGTGTTTACAAAATTTCTACATAAATAACGGTTAAATCCGTTTTTTACTATTAAAAGTGTGCCAACATGCTTTTTTTTATATATATATTTGGCACATGTCATAATTTTAATCAAAACTGGCAAAAATTACTAACATAAAATTTATGCTTGTAAGAATATAAATTTTAAAAATTTCAATTAACTGCTTTTTAAGTGGTGATGGCATTTGTGCTTTTTATTAATATTAAAAATAAAGTTTAGAGTGAATTGTTTGGGAGGGTTTCTGTATTGGAGACACACGAATCTGTCTTAGTTTCTTTCATTTATTCCCATTAAATTTTGTTACTTGAAAACCACGCACAAACTGTTATGCAGTTTAGTGGTATGCCAGGGATTTGTTTTTGTTTTTTTTTTTGCTTCATATTTTAAATAATAATATTTGTTTTTTTCTCTCTGATCTTGCTTTGTTTCAATTAACTTTTACTTTAATTTTGTGGCATGGTTAAATTTATTATTATTAAAAATAAGAGAAAAAAATTGTTAACATATTTATTTTATAGTATATAAATAATAATAATAATAATAATAATAATAATAATAATAATAATAATATATAAATAATTGAGCAAAAAATAAAAAAAATTGTTAATTAAACTAAAGATATATTGTGGTCTAAATTACATGATAATTATTAATTTTTGTATATATGAATATATTTGTATAAAAATTAATTGAAACTATTTAACTAAGAAGCAAGACACCTTCCAATAAATATTCTGTTAAATTCAACCTTTGACAATTTAAAATATATTTCAGTGCTGAAAATGCTCGTTCAACACTCACTTGTGTCATAGGTAAACCAATACTTTCTTTTGCAACGTTATACAATTCATTTGAAGACGTTTCTTTTGCTGCCCAAAATTTTGGGACACACGTATCTCGCTTTTCGCGCGATTCTTCATAATGACGATCTAACAACCATAGAATATCTGCTGTATTATGACATTTTGAAGAAATATTTTCTTTTTGTTTTAAAAATTTATCTTCTTCTGTTGAAGTTGAGTTTAGAGATGACTCTTCAGCGAAATTGTTACCTCCATTCATATTTTTTGTCAATTTGTGAAGTAGATAAAACTACTTTGAATCTTGGATCAAGAAATATTGCTGACATGGTCACATCTTGATTCAATTGTGCTTTTTCCCTTTCGTTTAGTGATTCCACAAAATTTGTTGAAAGTCTGCTACAAATTGTACTTGTTTCCATTCTACACTTCAGCCAGACAGAATAAAAATCTCCAGCCAACAAATGCGTTGTTCGGAATAATTTTGCTGTTTTTTGCAGGATCTAAAACGTTACAGATATCTTGTATATCTGACCAATCATTTTCGCTTAAATATAGTTTTTCAATGCTTTCGGCCATGTTTCTTCAAAAGTCTTTCAATAATAAGAATCTTTCCAACATATCATGTGTGCTGTGCCATCGTATTGCACAATCTATAATAAGTTTCTTAAGTCTTATTGTCTTATAGTTAAAACATTTATCTTTTGGTCACCTTTCTAGCTCTACTTCTTTTCGCTGGGATACAGTCTCCTTTTAACTTTAACACATAATCCATGGAAAGCTGCGAAGTATGAGTAGCCTGAATTTGTAGCAATGTGACCTATGGAAGGATCTAGTTTCGTAATAATTGCATTACTTCAATATTTTTTCTTTATTTTCTTCTTCTTTATTTTCTTCTTCGTCACTAATAATATCGCGCTTTGAGCATATTTGCCCCATTGTCTGTTGTTATCCTGATATTCTTTTAATACAGCCAATATTATTTTTGTATGTATGAGGAACCATATCTTTCCTTCAATTCCCGCATCGTCTACGTCCTTAAAACTAGACAGTTATTATTGCCAATAAATTGAACGTTGATTCCTAATATACTTCTATCTTCCTCCATCAACTTTGAAAGATAAGAACTTCCCCTCTAATTCTGTCGTTATTTTTTCTTATAAAAACCCAAAGCATTTAACGACACATTTTTTTTATATTTTCCATTTGCCATTTTATTTTCTAGTCCAGCTATTATCAGATCTAAAATTTTTCGAAAACCCGAATCATTTAATATGCTGAATGGACGGCCGTAAATTGTTAACAGTTTTGTACATGCTTCCTTCAACAAATCAGGAGTAATGTTAACTGAAATATTGGTTTTTGGTTTTATAACGACATCATCTAAGGTAGGTTGGATATTTAGCCGCCTTTTTTTAGTTGTTGCTGATGAATTTGACAAGGATGGTTATGATGAGCCTGCAGCAACGACGTCAAAAATTTCTTTATGTAATTATAAAAAGGCTTAAAAATATTTTAACTTTAAATTATATTATTATTTTAAAATGTTACATTTATATATGTATAATAACAACTTAACAAGATTAATATACACAAGCAAAAACACAATACAGATTGATACCGATAACTGAATGTAACGAACTTGTGTAAGAAAATATTGGACGATCGCATGGAAACAATAATATGGGAATAGCCTGCGTGTGCGAGAGATTGGTTTTCCATCACGTCACCTTCGGTTCTCCTACTTTATAGCGGAGCACTAGTGCTGAACGCGAGTAGATATCCGTGAATCTTCAGTAACGTAGTGGGAAATAGAAGCGGGAGCTTCAAGGGCCAACGTGAATAGAAGACCCTTGCATCCCCGATGTGTCTACTAGGAGAAGGTTACAAAAATATTGTCATTAAACCGGTTAAAACCGGTAACCGTTTTTCGTTTTCGATTATGGATGAAAAATAAAAATTTCGTTTTCGCGTGGAGTCCCATTTTGCATTAACCACATGTTTTGTCTCCACTGTCTTCTAGTAAAGGTGGTAGTTCCTCTTAGAGAAATTGCAAATACATTTCCCCATTAAGCGATCCGAATTAGGTCCTATAAGATTACCTTCTATAGTCCTTGCCCATATATCTAAAGAAAACAGGCGCTGATGTTCCACTCTTCCACTGATGCATATTTCGAAAATTTGAAATGCCATCATGACTGAATGCAGCCTCGTCAGTGATTTTTTGCGGGTAATTTTGAATTTTTCCTAAAATTTGATTGCATAAAATTACTCTCAATTGCTCATCACCCTCATACAACACTTCTCAAACTGTAGATCAAGCAATTCATTCCTAAGCAGCAAGTTGTCTCGTACTCGTTGAGTTTCTCCCTCCCTCAAATATCTCCTTTAAATTAATCATTTCTTTACATTTATACAATTAGTATTTTTATTATTATTATTATTATCTTAGCTTATTATATTTATTTACCTAAAATTAATAACAAAATCCACTTTAAAAATTTAAATTTATCCAATAAAATTCACTGAAAATAATAATAAACTTATTTTCTTCATTTGATCCTACTACAAATTTATTTAACTTAAATTGATTAGGAATTCTTATAAGTTTAGTCCAATTACCATATTTTTTTTGGTTTGTTCCTTCACGCTATAATATATCTTGAATTATCCTTAGTAATAGAATTCATAAAGAGTTTAAAATTCTTCTCCCTCAAAATATAAAAAGATCATCATTAATTTTACTAAGAATTTTTATTTTTATTATATTAAATAATTTCTTAGGTTAATTTCCCTATATTTTTACTAGAACCAGTCATATACCAATTACTTTAGGTTTAAGTTGAAGATTATGATTAACTTTTATAATCTTTGGTATTACCTTTCATACTATAAATATATTAGCCCATCTAGTGCCTATGGGAGCTCCTGCTCCTTTATTACCATTCTTAGTGATTGTTGAATTAATTAGAAATTTAATTCGTCAAATAACATTAGCCATTCGATTAACAGCTAACATAATTGCAGGACATTTACTTTTAACCCTACTAGGAAATATAGGTCAATATATAAATTTATTAACAATCAATATTTTAATTTTTATTCAAATTTTATTATTAATTTTAGAATCTGCAGTTAGTCTAATTCAAGCATATGTATTTTCTATTCTTATTACTCTTTATGCTAGAGAAATTCATTAATGACAACTCAAAATCATCCTTTTCATTTTGGGTTAACAAGGCCTTGGCCTCTATTAATTTCTTTTAATTTATTAAATTTATTAATAGGACTTATTTCTTGATTTCATTTATATCAAATTGATCTATTAACTTTTAGATTAATTTCTATATTATTAATTTTATTTCAATGATGACGAGATATCACACGAGAAAGAACATTCCAAGGCTTACACTCTTTCAAACTTTAATTAGGTCTTCATTTTTTTGAAGGTTTTTTCACAATAGCCTTTCCCCTAATATTGAATTAGCAATAATATGACCCCCTAAATCAATTCATACTTTTAATCCTATAAATATTCCTCTTTTAAATACATTAATTTTATTATCTTCAGGTATTACAGTAACCTGATCTTATCATAGATTAATAGAGAATAATTATTCCCAAGCATTTCAAAGACTATTATGAACCATTGGACTAGGAATTTATTTTACTCTTCTTCAAGCTATTGAATATTATGAAGCCTCATTCTCACTTTCAGACTCTATTTATGGGACTTGCTTTTTTATAGCAACTGGATTTCATGGATTTCACGTTATTATTGGTACTACATTTCTTTTTATTATAATAATTCGTCTATTCGTTAGGCACTTTTCTTCAAATCATCACTTTGGATTTGAGGCTCCTGCATGATACTGACACATCGTAGATGTAGTATGATTATTTTTATACTTAACCATCTACTGGTGAAGAAGATAATTTTATTTAAATAATATAAATTATTATATTTGACTTCCAATCAAAAAATCTAGACTTTAGTATAAATAATAATCATAATTGTTTATTTATCATTAATAATCTTAATAATTACTCTGATACTAGTAATTCTAATTAATTTTTTATCTATAAAAACATTGATTGATCGTGAAAAAAGTAGTCCCTATGAATGTGGATTTGACCCAAATAATAACTCTCGAATACCATTTTCATTACATTTTTTCTTAATCGCTTTAATTTTTTTAATTTTTGATATTGAGTTAACATTGCTTCTACCTATTATCTTCTCATTAAAATTTTCTAACATTTTTAGGTTATTCTACTCTATTAGTTTTTTTTTAATTATTCTTTTACTTGGTTTATTTATATTATCAGTTTTGAATGATCCTCTCTCACCAAGTCTTCTGTGTATGTTGATGTTTCTATTGGGATAAGCCTCGATATAAAGCCGTCGTGCTTAATCTGCATTTCCATATATCGCGATATTCAGTATTTGAATATTCCTGATGGGTTATCACAGTAGCAGTTCGAAAATAAGCTCTTTTAATAGAAACTAATTTTTGTCGGATTGTGACAATGACTTTTTCAAATTTCATGTAAAATCACGTTTACATGTAGAATTCGAGGCGAGAATAAAAAATCGATTTGTGGCTAAACGATAACACTTATATACATACAAGAGTAAAAATGTTTGAGGAATTGTCCTTCTGCTTAAGGAAATGTGGTCTATTTTGCAATATCAGTCTAAATAAATAAAATATAGGGAAAATGAAAAAGATTTCTGAGAATTAAGCCCATTGCATTAAAAATAAAATTAAAAAAAAATAATTCTGACAATCTATAACTCGGAAAATTTCGAATTTTTGTTGCATGACTTACTGCCATTATTGTACAATGTTGAATCTTTCTTCCAAGTTTCCGAACTCAATTTCCGAACACCCTGTATAAAATATTTCAGGAAAGATAAACCAATAAAATTCAGCTATAACCTTACAGCAACTTGGTCTTTTAAAAAAATATGTTTAAATAGGTCAGATTATTAATAAAAGTGAAATAAATTTGACAAATGAAAAAGGACGGGATATAAAGTTTCAAAAAGGCGATCGTATGACCAGTGAAAGCTTCCGTTTCAGACCATGCGGGGAAATGCCAGTTCCACTGTTCACTTAAACAGTTACGTCGACCGTGTTTACGCAGATTACCAAATCCTGGTTCGAGGTTTTATGACTTTGAATTACCCTTTCTAAATTATTAATACTGTCCGCTAAATATTTTTTATATGACCGAAGTAAATAATTGTTTCTGCGGTTTATTATTAAAACTCAACCTTTTAGTCGACACTATATCCGTTTGAATATCCTGCAGGCCACCACGGAAGGGGAGACATCTACGAAGTATCCACCTAAATTGGACTCGGGATCATTTTTGACAGGTTTCTTGAAAACTTTACTTAATAGCGGAGGAAACTCCACTCAGGTTAGTATTATCGCAGTTTTTTATTACTAATTAATTAATAGTTCGGAAACAGATTGACAGAAACTTTTGAAATTGTCAAATGTCAAAGGTTGGTTTGAAGGCTACAGATAACACAAACTTTTTTATGGGTTGACTTTTATACTTTTTTGCTTATAAAATCGGAAAACCTGTATGCAATTACTGGGAAAAAGGTACGCTTGATCGATATTAAGGTAAACGGATTTCAAAAATTCTAAAATGATAGTTACGCGTAGGGTCTTCACTCAATATATATCGATATTCCAAAATAATTTCAAACAAAAAATATTTTAATTGTCTTTCAATAATTTCAATTACTTGCAATAAAAAACAATAAAATAAAATTGTAATGTATAAATTTAAACGTAAGCACAAATGCTGGGAAGATATATAGTGTATAATTCAGTTGTGATGATTAAGGCATGGTCGGCTATATATATATATATATATATACACTTTATACTATAACAATCCATATAGTATTGTTTTGTGCACAGATTATGAGTCACAACAACAGCGGAAGTCTAAGAATATGAAACGTGGCGAACAAAGGGACGGCAGTGAATCTGAACATTGAAATTTATTTTTCTTTTCGTCCCTATTGGTTATTCTTTTTTAACTAATATTTATAAAACCAACGACAATTATAAATGTTTCTATTAAAAAAGAATAAACCGAATGAATTTGCAAAATTAATTGAATGCCATTTTTTTTTGGACTCAGTACACTCGTGAAAGCACCAAATTAAAATACAATAACATTAACAATGAATTTACTTTATTATTATATACCATTACAGAAGTGATGATTCAATAGCCAACTAATTCTTGCACGAGATCGGACTTCGAAACTTCATATTTTTAACTCAATATAAAATTTTATTTCATTATTTTTCATTCCAAATAATTGAAATTATTGAAGCACAATTAAAATATTTGTTTTGTGTAAAATCGACTAGTCTGACTGGTGTTATTGAGAGTTTGCTCCATTATCTTGTTTCAACCTTCAGAAAACACTTTGAGAGACAAATTTTTTTGAAAGGTTTAAAGAGGCGCTAAGGCTTTGTGTTATATTTTTGTTTTACACTGCATTCGGAACTAGAGATCTAATTTGAAACATGTTATTATCTACACTAACTCATTAGGTCAAATCATTTGTTTGACACAATAAAAGAAGCGATTAACGTATTATCTACGATACTTGTCCAAGGATTGATAGAAAATGAATTTTTTCTATTCTCGTCTGTAAAATACCTAATTACACACCTATCTAGTGTGCGGGAAGCGTCACTTTACACACACACACACTTCGGATATTTCCGGGATATTACCACACAACTTTGGGAGCAATCGGATGTTTTCGGAGATATTTCCCACGCTTTGAATTTTGACGTTTGTCAATTCTGTCGTGTTTTGCGAAAATGTACCCAAAAACTAACGGTGGTAGAAAAAGTTTAATATGCAACACGTTCAATAAACTGAACTCATTTATTAAACACTCGCTCCGCTCGGGTCAAATAAACTCGTGAGTCAAATGCCGTTTACCGTTGCATAATATACTATTGAAAGTTAATTCTTCAAAATAACCCTCACTCCAGAAATGTAGTGAGTGTTAAACGGCCATAAAATTTTGTCCAAAATATCTTGATGGTTGAGAATTGAAAAATCTTCGGATCTTAAATTCGGTACTACTATAAAATGGCAAGGATGTAGTCCTTGCATTTGGGTCATTCTACCAAGCTAAAAAATTTTTTACCTGCCCTATAAAACTGGTAAATAACCGAAAAAAAAATGTGACGAGATTAAACCTTGTTTGTTTTAGGAATATTGGTGGTCTCTACAACGGTCTTAATGCTATTCGAGAATTCTGCTCAGCACTCTCTCATATTCATAATTTCCCATAGGCCTTCCTTGTCTTCCAGATCTACTAAACGATCCACGTTCGGCCAATCTACTATCCTATGTTGTTATCAAGCGTCAAACCGTCAACACTCTTATCAATTCTATTTATAATTTTGTAATAAATGACATGCCTAAACAGAGAATTTTGGAAATCCATTTTCCTGGAAAATCTTAGCGCTCTTTTTTTCTAACAGAACACAACCTTTCCGATTTGATAACAAAAAAATCTAAAAACCAAACCACAAAAAAGTAATTGCAGTTTTTTTTACAAAACTTCTGGATTTCTCCTGCGTCGGTCATCCAAAAGTATTACAGTAGCCTATGGAAGTTTCTTTGAAAAATTAATTGCAGTTTTTGTTAGTTTTCGCCAGTAAATTTGGGAGAACCTGTGAATTCTGAATTGTTAACTGTTGTATCACCTATGATTACCTATTCGTTTCAGAATGGATATGGAGGAAGGAACTCAAAATACAATTTGGTGAAAGGATTATTTTCCCTCGTTACGGGAGTCTTCACGGCAGCATCCTCCCTGTCTTCGAAGTCAGACTGGAACTAAAAATATTATTGAAAATAAACTTTTTTAACCTTAAAGTTTTATTTGTGCGTTGCGCCTATGTCCTTACCCTCCGTACTTATACTAAAGCGTTCGGTAAAGAAATCATTCCAAGTACACATTAACAGTTATCCTTATTATTACTATGACGCAATCCATATATTTTAATGTCAACACCAAATCAATTTATCGATATATAGCTATTTATACATAAACATTTTAGTAAACGTCTATTTTTTTTCTGCTGTAGACCGATTTTCCGAAAATATATAACAATTTCAAATTTTATTTGCATACCTCCGAAAATAGTCGATTGGTTTTGACTTTTAACATGTGCATCATTACCTTTGACACGATTTACAAATATCAGTTTGAAGACTTGCCAGGAGAAAAGTTAAGAAATCAGAATTTATTGATTGGTCTCTCCTGCTTAGACTGTAACCCACACAAATCCATATTCAATCAAAAGCGAACTCCGCAGACTAAACGATAGACCAAATAAATGATTTAAGGATTTCAATTTTGATTTATTTATTTATTTAGCATAAATTAAATATACGAGCCAGTAGCAAAATAGGAAAATTTAATTAAGTATAAAAGTACAAAAGTACAAAAGTACACAAAACAAAAGTCTATAACAGCAGAACAATTATAAAAGAAAAATCAGATTAAAATTTCAGACAATACATAAGTTTCAATTAATCTTTTAAAAGCATTTGAATTATCACACTCCTTAATATTGTTTGGCAGCCTATTAAACTCTAACAAACCTTTATTTAAAATGGTGTTCAACATATGTGTAGTTTTACATCGATTGACTAGGATGAAATCAGTACGGTTTCTAGTGTTATAGTCATGAACATTCTTAAAGTAATTAACCCTATTGCCAATGTATGGCCGCATCATTTTATTTTTTATCTTAAATATATGACATCAAACATTACTTTTTGCTTTACAGTTAATATTTGTAACATTTAACATAGTCATCACAGGTGTATTTTCTGAAGTTCCGTTAGTCTATAGTTAGGTATATTAAAAAATAAAGTTGAACAATATTGCAGATGTGGCGCCGCCAAGCTATTGTAAAGTGACAATTTTGTATGACTTGTTAAATTTTTGCCTGCTCTAGATATAAAACCCACCTTTTGTGAGAACTTTCTCATTATATAATCACAATGTGCATCAAAATTTAATTGTGGATCTAATATAATTCCCATATATTTTATATGTTTCTCATACTGCAAATTAACGCCATTTATGTTAATATTAACACTCTTCAGATCCAACCACTCAATCTATGTTTTTTGCCATACAAACAGAACTTCGACTTCATGACATTAATGCTAAGATTATTATTGCACAGCCATACAAACACTCGATACAGGTCATCATTGATATCTCGCTGCATTTCTTCTATATTCTTACCAACGACATATATCATGGTATGGTCGGCAAATAATATGAAATTTTGCTGTTTTTCACAACTCGAGCTAGATCATTAAAATAAAGAAGAAACAATAATGGCCCCAAAACAGTCCCCTGTGGTACCCCATGATCCACCAAGATAGACTCAGACACAAAACAAAAAGACAGCCAGACCGAAACCATTGTCATCGACAGCCCCAACAAATTCATCACAGGTACTAGCCATCACAGTCTCGCAAGAATGTTCCGTTCCAAATCCCGATTGACTGGAGACAATTAAAATATGTCATATAGCTAAAGAAAATTGTGGAGGTTTGCAAAACTTAACAAATCATAAACAGCTATATATAGCATATCGGACAGAATAGAATAGAAACGACTGTAATTTTCAAGTCAACGCGGTTCAGCATAGCTATTTTCTTAATCGAGCGTGTATACATTACATTTCCACACTTATTAAAAAGTTATTAGAATTCTAATGAACAAATATTAATGTGTGACGGTTTCAGATTTCAATAGCAAAATTTAGGCCTAATAAACATTGTTTTGTTTTCTTAACCCATTGTTCCCCGATTTTCTGGGAATGGCCGTCCGGTTGCCACCACAGCTGGCGTTCGGGTAGTTCGATCTCATTGACGCAACCTCGATTCTTTGGCACGGGCCATACGGTCAACACCACAGATAAATTTCGGTTATTCGATCTACTGGTGGCGTACCGTCGACTAGGTTGGCAAGAGTGGCGTTTTCCCCGTAATTTTTTGTGCCCGTTTAGCCTTTTTAAAAAAATTGGATGTCTGACCGTTCGGCATTTGGTACGCTCGCTAGTGAAGCTTGGGGCTGTGGCAGGTTTTTTTGTGTGACTGATTTCTTTTTTGAGCCGGTAGTGCTACCACAATAAGAGGGGGATTTGTAAATTTAGATTTAGATTTACCATAGTTTTTTTTCTGTTTGGAATGGGAATCTTTTTCAACAATTGTAATTGCCCCACATTTCCAGAAAACCCTCGAATCGAGTGACCTGTTCTCTTCAAGAACGGTTTGCGGAACTTATATTCTTGAATTATAGTGCCTTACATTCTTTTGCACCGCCAAAACTTGAAGGTGAGATTTGACGCACTCACACCTACCACCAGGTAGAGATTTATATACCTTTTTGCTTCATTTACACCTTTGACTGTTGTTACCCTTTACCAGGAATTTGGAGGAAATAAATTATTGTTCGTGATTCATTTGTTTATTTCCTTTATTTCCTCGGGTTAATAAGTGTACCGTTTTTTGAATCATGTGGCGCCTACCTACCACCTTCCGGCACTAACCGAGTTACCCTTCACCGCCTTTCAACTTGGGCTTCTATTTAGTTTTTTTTTTTTTTTACTTTATTAAATTTTCTTGTTTGTTAGTGAGCTAGCCTGGGCATTGTCTTACCTCACTATTAAATATGAAATTTAATTAATTAATGCTTTTCTTTTTCACAACCCTGAAGTTGAGAGGTAAGAAATGCCTACAAGAAAATATTTAGTTACTAGATAATTCTTAGATTTAGATAGCAAATACGATTTTACGCCGAATCATTGGTTCTGAAATTCCATAGTCGAATATTACATATTAATAAGTTTAAGTCGACGTTTTCAGGCGGGCTTGAGTAAGCGGCTTGAAGGTAGAGGCATTTATTTCGTACAAGTAAAACTGGCTTCATCTTGACTTGACTTGACCTGACTGGGACACATAGTTGTTATCACGTTTTTCTCTACTTTCATTTTACTGTTAACAAAATCACATGTTTAATAAACGAGTGGCTTGGAACGTTTAACAAATGTGTTGCATACTATAATTTTTCTACGACCGTTAGTCTTGGGTACAAAATTGACAAACGTCAAAATTTAAACCTTGAGGCAAAATCTCGAAAACATATGATTGCACCCAAACCCGTGCCGTAATGTTCCGGAAATGTCCGAAGTCGCTCGGATGCGTAGGACAAGAAACTCATGTGGTATAGTGACGCTTCCCGCACGCTAGATCGCTGTATAATTAGGCATTTTACGGAAGGGAATAGAAAAACAGTATATTATGCAACAAGTGGAGTAGAAAAAAAAGTGTACCGAACGTGTTGCCATACTATACTTTTTCTAAGACCGTTAGTTTTTGGACAAACGTCAAAATTCAAACCGTGCGGTAAAATTACCGAAAACATCCGATTGCTCCCAAACCCGTGCGGTACAATCCCGGAAATGTCCGAAGCGGCTCGAATCCATGGGAAACGAAACTGACGCTTCCTGCACGCTCCATCGGTGTGTAATTAAGTATTTTACAGACTGGAGTAGAAAAAATAAATTTCTGTCACATATAAATTTTAATGTTCCTGTTCTTGTTTTACCAAAATAACCATCGAATTATCATTATCAACTGTGGTAATGTAAAAATTATTGTCTGGACATGTGTAGTTTTAATGAAATTTTACACACAACTACGTAACATTTTACAAAAACGCATCATTACCTATATAAGTAAGTAACTTAGTTTTATTTTACTTTTGTCTTTTATGTATTTGGTTTCCCTACTTGCTGTTTCCAGCTATAATGTGAGAAGCATTTTGATTTTTGAGTTTGTAGGACATGAGGACTACAGTCTTTGAGAATACTAGAATTGGTAATAGCAGTAGTTGCTTAAATAATATTTTTAATAACTTAAATAGCGAAAAGGGCAAGGCTCAAGTTATAGAAGCTCATATATCTATCTGACTATGCCATACCATACAAAGTGAAAATAATTTTGCAGTTAAGTGCGTTTGCTCTGAACATATTAATAATAACAAGCTTGGGGTGCGTTTCTAGAATTGTTGCATTTAAACAAATATTTGATATTTGTTTAAATGCATGCAAATATTTGATAACATAACAAATCAGGAAATGTAAGAATTAGATAAAAACAATTTTACAACGAAACAAGGAATGGCTTTGATACGCTTTTAAAAACAGAGAAGTAAAATCATTTTAACCATAAAAGTAAAACATCCGATAATAAAAATAACTGTTTGTGGAGAATATAGTGACCGCAGTGCCAGAGCTCCTAAAAAATAAGAGTCGTGCCGTTTCAGTGTATTATTATTAAAAATAATCAGTCCACGTCCACTAATAGGCAGAAATTTCACAAATTTAGCATACATCCTATCAGTTCAATTCTAAAATTTTAATTTTCAATATAAATAACTGATTATAAGTTACCTAACATAAAACCACTTCCCAAAAAATGCTGTTAACGCGAACTTCAATAATTATAGACCAATAACCTTATTGGCACGTTTTTCAAAAGTTTTTAGAATAAATAGGTGATCAAGATTGGGCTTTGTGTAAAGTTGCAATCTCCTAAGTAGTCGCTATCAGGCGATTTTAGGCCATCGATTTTATTGATAGAAAATTACTTTTGCATAAATTAGGTAAATATCTCTCGGAGAGAAGACCAAGGTTGGGAATAAAAAATAGGGTTACCACTCTACGAATTTTATTCATGATTTATACCCACGATGTAATTGTGCTAGAGAATAATGACTTCATAACGAATTATGCAGATGACACTTTTGATATCACGTACCGTATTTCTAGAAATACAAGAAAAAGCAGATAGAGTCGTAATAAGATTAAATATAGAATTAACTTACTCTACCATAGCCTAAACTTAATAAATTTAATAAATAACTTTTTATAATAGGAAAATAGTATCCGTAGGAAACGAAACAGACGTGGTAAAGTGACGCTTCCCGCACGCTAGATCGGTGTGTAATTTCTTCGTATTTTATATTTGTGGAGTTGTTCATTAATGATATTTACTTCTTTTCTTCTTCAGTGAACTATAGAACTAATAACGACCCATTTGAATTATACTGACCCATTGCTAAGGGGAAGAATTTAACTTGTACAAGAAGGAACGGCTTGTTTGGACAGATATATTAAAAACAATCATATCAACCGACGTAACTATTGAAACATGAAAACTACGCGGCTTTCCCTAAAAAATAAAACTTAATTCCATACATCATTTATAAAGTACGAAACGATCAGAATAGTAAGAAGCAAGAAACTAATTTGTATTTGTCTCTAGTTAATTGTCTAACTAAAACCAAACTAAACTTTTTTCAATTTGAACTCTGAGGTTTGAACTTTTTAAATTTTTCCTCGGAAACTTTTGTTGTATTTTGACTGACTTTTATTAAATTTGTTGTTTGGTGAAAATTTCCGCTATCTTTACAAAGCAGTCTACCAATTTCCGTAAAATCCCGGAAATGTCCGAAGTGGTTTAGATCCGTGGGAAACAAAACTAAAGTGGTAAAACTCACCCTTTATGCCTAAAGTTTGGAACTTCGAGATAGTGTCGTCATACCTTAATATTCAAAATCTTATAATCATATGTAAAAAAAGAATTATAAGAAAATTAAAGCGGTGTCAAGGAATGAGGTACAATTTTGAATTTGAAGAGCTAAAAATTCACTTGTATAGCGCAAGAATTAAAAATCTTTTAATTCCACAGCATCGATTAATGGTGACTAAAAATAGCCTCTATTGTATGAGTTATATAATAGATTTCTTGACACAAACAAATCAAATGTGCAAGTAATGTAAGGGTTTAGGATGACTTACTTATTAAAATAGAACCATACGAAGAGACAGAGTTTTTGGAGCGAAACTTGCAATCTTATGAAATAGTTCTTTTTTTGTGACATCGTTTCATTGTGATTTGAAATAAAGAGTTATTTTTATTATTTCAACTGAAAAAGTTCTTTCTAAAAACCTTCTCGTCGATAACACTCGTCGGCGTATCTCGAGTGAATTTCTAACGATCTACCGAGCACTTTAAATTCAAGCAGTTAACATCAAATAAGAACGAAAGTCGTTACTCGTCGACGACATTGAAACTTAAAGTGAGAGTTTAAGCGGCGTGTCGTTAAAAATCCAACGTCGTCGTTTTTGTGATAATGAATTTTCTTTCCCGATTTATACGTCGTTGTTAGTTTTCCTCCGCCGCGATTTCCGTTTTTCGTAATCGTAAATGGACCATTTACGCGCCCGGTATCTTACGAGTGGTTTATAAACGACATAGGCAGCGGACAAGCGAGTAAAAGGTAGGCCATAAAACAAACGAATGTAGAGCAGTAATGGCGACCGTAATTCTGAATGCGGTACGCCGTATACTTGGGTGGATATGGCAGTCCAGTGTACCAGTAAAAAAAATTCTGTTTCATTGTTTAGTTTTGAATTCATTCTAGTTGAGAATGGGAGGACCGTTTAATTATAAGGCGATAGCGATCTTTCCAACGTTCCCTTGACCTCTCACCCCCACTACAATTAGGGGCGTCGAATAGAAAAAAGAGTTGGTTTGATACTGGAGGAAAATTGAAAACCAGATAAACTTAATTTCAAATCTACTAGTGTGGCAATTTTGATAATGAATAATTTGTGAAAGATTGAATTCTTCTATAAAATATGGGCATAAATATGCCAAAAATTTCCAAAAAATATGTCAAATATATGCTTTTTTCTACAATCTATGTGCTTTTATATTTTTTACATATATTGTTTAGTGAAAATCAAGGACAGAATAGTCATACAACGAAAAAAAATAATAATACTTAATTAGGAGTATAAAGACACCAAATGATAATTCACTTTCGTCATTTTGAATTCAATGATAGTTTACTCTCGGACGCTCGGACAGCACACAAAATGTTTAAAATGCTTGGAAAATTTCAAAAGAAGAGTGAGAAGAAGAAGAGAATGTATTTCATTCAATCACAAGCGCTATCAGCGATAATTTTCAGAAGAGGGTGTTAAAATCACATTAGATAAAAGCGTCAAACAAGAAAAGGGACAAAGCTATAAATAGAAAATCCACAATATCGCAGATAGATTTCATTTTTAATCTTATCCGTTTAGAAAATCCCATTAATAAAGTAAGGAATGGGTGAAAAATATGGGATTTTATGCTCGAAAAATAGAAAATTTTCACTTTATGTATAACAACTAAAAATATGTGCTAAAGCTTCAGTTTATGCGAAATATGTAATTTTTTATATCGTTAATCTAATTATTTCATTCTAAAACGGGTATATCGAAAGTATTGGATTGATATTCCTGATAATAAAAAAGATATTTTGTGTCATAAGAGCTGCTGCTGTTCAAATAATTTATGCCCCTTATTTTGTCCCACATTTTTTATAAGAATGCTTTTAGTTTTTGGGCAAAAATATTATTTTTTTGAAACAGTTTTCCACAAAGTAAAAAAATCTCGTTTTGAAGTTATTTGAAATTTTGGCAAGTAACCGAATTGATAAATTATTTGAAGTAATTTTAAATACAGAGAATAATGATCGTTTAGAAACAACCATGAAGTACGAATATTTCAAAAAAAATTTAAGTTGCTTTTAGTCAGCGCAAACCTTTATGACCATATCAGAGATATTTATGGTCTAACTTTAGACCATTTCAATTTAATTTATAAAAAAAAGTTTTTTGGATTCTCCTTTACAGAACCCATTAGCTTCTGAAGGTTGTGTTTTCAGACAAGTCTATTAACCACACTAAAGATGTATTTTAATGTTACATTTCCCTAAAAATTAGCTTAATGTTGTTTGACTTCACTCTAACTGTAATGCGATGGAATATAAGAAGAAAAAGAAGGTGGGCATATCTGGATTCATTGTATACTATAAATAACCGTAGAACATTTGGACTATCCACGTAAATTAAATAATTTTGGGGTTCAATTCTGACATTTCTTTTGGCAGGTGCTTCAGAATACAGAAAATTGTAATCATAAAACCAAATATGATCAAGATTATTAGTTGGATAACTATTAGCTAAACAAGGATAAACTTTTTGTAAACTATTAATCAGATAGAGACAAAAGAAAATCAAATACTGTATCCGCTCTCACAAAGAGCGATATTATTCAAGTCACAGACAAGAAATTGTTCAGTACCTTTGTATATTTCTGCTGGCTAATATCACTTTTTTTTCTGAGATTCTGAGAACTCTGCTTGTTCTTTTAAAATATTCAAAATTTTGTCCCAGAAAACTCATCGCAATCTAATCCAATATTATTTGTAAATAAAAATATGTTTAAGCTACTTATACAATAAAGCTAAAAACTATGCGCTCCAGAAACAAACTATACAGTAACAGACAGACTCGCTTATTTTGTACTATGAACTAGCTATAAACTATTGATATAGATTCTAGTTTTTTGGTCGATAATGAATTTAAATGTCGCATTCAAAGGTTACAATGCTTGGACATGGAATCCAGAAGAGTTCTATGTTTAAGGATCATTCTAATCAATATTTTGTTAATAAAATATCCCCAACTTTCTTAAGGGACTGACTGAGTGTTTGAAGTACTCAGAATCACGAGTACTTTGCTTTGAAGATCTTTCACCTTTAAAACCGTTATCATAAGTAAGTAAGTGCAATAAGTATATAGTAGCAAATAGTAGTTTAGTAGTGGTAGTAGTTTTCAATCTAATTGAATTTGAATTTACAATGCGTCATTTCATTTACCTTTATTTTAATAATAATATTCACAGTTATTTAGTTATTTAGTGGTTCCTTTTTCTCTTGATGAAGGTGTATTCATTATAATTATTGTTAAATGTGATGCTTAATGTCACACCCTTTACATGAAAACAAATTGTAATTTAACCAAATACACATATCTAAAAGGTATTTTTAAACTAAATTTACGGGTATTCTGATGGTAGAGAAAACGAAGGTAGTTTTATATAAACTAAAATAAGCATTTGCAAATTCAATTTAAATAAATTTTTAATTTCTCCGATTTCTCCGATACCGGAACAAATAATTTTTTATCGATTCAAACCAAGGAACGGATTTTCGGAATTAGATACACAAATTTTGAGGGACGAGGGAATACGATCTTTCAGTTGATTTAGAATACCAGTTAATTAAATTTCATAATCAATATCTACATACAGCGATGACGTTTGATCTTCACTTGCTGGATATTTTATCGATATTTTCGTCAAAAACAAAGTAAGACTTCGGACAACTTATATACGAAAAGGTCACTAATTGTTAGTTATGTAATGCCAATCAAACAGGAATTACAGGAACGAAGAATATTAAAACAACGCAAATATACAAAATTCTTGGCGCATAACATGAAATTTAAAAAAATAAATGTGGGACACTCGCGGTTATAAATTATATTGCCTATTTTTCAGCAATTTGCTATAATTTTGCTGTAACGTTATTGGAAAATGTGAAAGCAATGTCACACGCAAAAACCCGGCCACACAAATACAATTGTTTTGTTGAATAATATGCTTATTAGAAGAAAGTAATCAAATTATCTCAAAAAATTAGTGACATAAAAAATTAATTAAAAAATTAAACTAATTTTCCCATATTTATACAAAAAAAATCCAATTTGAAAATTACCATTAATGTCCATTTCAACTTTTGCAGACACCGCAGAACAACAAAAAACTTCATAGGCTTATCTTATCTAAAAAACATGTTAAATGTATTTCAAATTTGGTATTTGAAGTGTAATTGTTACTTTTTGTCTAGGAGAGGTTTCATTTCGAAAATATTTATGAAACTATTAAATAATCAGAATACCGAATTTAACACAATCCTCTAATCTAGTTCTCCAGAGCGTTTAATAAGACTCTTAAGGTAAATCATCTTGTATATTGGACGAATACATAAGGCAAAACGTGAAAAAATGCCCATCCGACAAACACATGTTGATAAAATTTTCCATGAATGTTATGTGAGCAAACAAAAAATACGCTCACCTTCGCCGCTTTGACCCAGTAAATAAAAGTCATTAAAATTCATGAAAGGTATTTTGCAAGACGGTCTAGATGATTCGAAAAAGCACAAAAATAACAACCATCGATTTTAAAGATTGCCCAATTTTTATCGAAATTTTATCAGATTAAAGGCATAACGAAACGTCATCGGAGTCATTTTTTTTTAATAACCAGCATACGACAAATTTTCATGATTTCCTGTTGCATTATTTATTGATTTTATTTGGCAATCAACTATTTCAACCCAATTCGACCATTACGGAAACCCCAAAAATTTAACACATCAAAAACTTGAGTAACCAAATTATCATCACGGTTTAAATAAGCCGTTTTGATAATTTATTAACAAATTTTTCGACCAACGTTGCAATAGAGTCAATTAACTAGTCGATTAGGTTCATTTTCTGCAATGCGTTATTGCTAAAGACATTTATTTTCGTTGATTACTTGTTATCAGTATCTTCATTATTCACAATCAAGAGTATTTGTAAATACTTTAAATATGCAAGAGCCAGAAATGATTGGGACAAAGTCATGAAACACAGATAACTAGAATTGAGTGCCATGGGATCTGAAAAAATTATTAAGAAATGTTCACAAAAAATATAACAACACATAAACTAAATTCTTCTAAAATATTAATCGGTTTGTTTATTTATATGACATATTTTTTTAATAAATGGCATATTTTTGTGAAACTAGATGTATTTTACAAATATATTATGAGTTTTATTTGTATTGTTAACTTACAATCTAAGTTTTTTTTACACAGTTGCATTTAAATATGTTGTAAAACAGACCCTATGAAATTTGTATCAGTTTGTGCCATTTTTCAGAGAGTACTTCTAAAGCAGAAAACATATTTTACTTAATAATGTGGGAAGACTTTTAAATCGTACATATGTGGGCTTTATCACTGGCCGCCTGGGGATATGTAAAAAGATGAAGAAGAAGAAGAAGAAGACCTAAAAGTTGCGTCTTGTTTATTAGGGACTCAATGATGCGTAAGATAAATGCATGTATTATATCTCATTGTTAACACTTACTATAAAAAAATGTAATTATGTCGAACATAAGTGATAAATCTTGCTCAAAAAGAATCTGTCTGACAGCACCAAGCTAAATTATCTTGATTTTTTTTTATTAGGAAACTGGTAAGTTTTATGAAAAGTTTTCCTGAAACAAAATCTAATAAACCGGTCTATCAAAATTTCTTTTATTTTTTATTTTTTCAATGTCATTGGCAAAGTTTTTCTTTAAATTTTGTTTTTTTTTTTAATTTAAATT